TATCAGCAGTTTTGAGATCTTCATGCTCTTAAACATGATGCTAAAAATGTATCAGCCTGGCTATGGAATTTTTGGGGGGATTTTTTTCCCTTAATAAAGGTGTGTGAGAAGAACATGGGGAGACTGAAGGATGCCCATGACAGTAGCTCAGCAGCTGAAGCAGAGCAGTCAAGCTTAACTCCGTGCAGGTGAGGAGGATGTGAGCTTTAATGCCTTCTGCTCCATGGAAACAGCCTTCCATCGACTTGAAGGCTGAAGCTTTGGTGGTGGGAGAGGGAAAACAGGAATGCCATGGAAACATCCCTGCTTCACTAAGGAAGTGCAGTGCTGTTTCTTTTAGTTTTACTCCTAGGTGTGCGCAGTGGGCGAACCCACAGCAGCAACTAAACATTTTGTTTCAGTTTTGGGAGAGAAATCTCTCCCTGAAGACACTCACTTGTGTCTTTTCTTGGGTTTTTGTTTCGTTGATGTAGTGACATACAAACTGATCAGGGCTACACTATGCCCCAATTAATAGAGTTTTAGTGCTGGACATGTTTAGGGGCCAACATCTCCCCCATGTTAAAAGTAATGCATTATATTGCACACCCATTAATAAAGGTTGGGTTTGTGTGCTTTAACTAAAGAGAATTCTGTGCCTTCTTTGTTTTAGGAAGTGTCATCTTCAAGATGTTTTTTTCATGCCTGTCATGCATCCAGGCTGCAGCCTGGCTGGCGTGGGCCCAGGAAGGATGGCACACTTTGCTTCCTGCTAGTCCTGCTCAGCCCTGGGTGCTTACACCATCTCCTCCTCAGCGTTGCTCAGGTGTGGCAGTGGTACCTTTCTGGGGCAGGAGCTCTCCTGGTGCACAACCAGTGCAGTTTAAGATATAAAGGTGCAAAGTGAAGCCCATGACAGCTTGAGGGATTGCGTGGGCCTTTATCAGCCAGAACCTCTCTGAGCGCAAACACAAAAATGTTGTTGACAGACAACTTTCATAAATTGCTTTGTTGAGTGTCAGCTTCACTTTATAGCACATTGTCACATGCCAGTGCTGACACTTGTGGCAGAACTTGCTGGCGCAGTATGGCATGCCTCTCTGTAGCTTTTTCTGCATTTTCTTCCTAGGAAAATCATTATGGTCCAAACTGGAGCCATTTTATCAGGTTTTGTCCTTGATGCATGGGTGAGTGGGGATGTTTTGCACAGTATGTGATGCCAGAACCATGCCAACATCACAATTAAAAATGGGGTGAAACAAAATGAATTCTTTAAATGTACTCATATTTCTGTGATGTATTTTCTGCTGCTGCACTTCTAATGCTTAAAATCTTTTACAGGAGCATCTGTTACTCAGAAAGCAAAGGTTTGCAGCAGCCTTACCAGAGTTAACAGTAGCTATGGGCCAGGTTAGACAAAAACATCCTTCTTTTTTATCACTTACTTTTCTGTGCTAGGTGTTTGCCCAAAGCCATGCCATCATGGCAAGGAAATTTGTTCTGCTAGTATCACATGCAGCAAGACAAGGGTTGTGGTCACTGTAATGTTAAACTGAGTCACAAAACTTCCTAAATCATTGCTGTATGTGTGGCTAAAGAAAGGAAAAAAAGGAAACATCACTCATCAAGACTTTAACACCAAGCAAGAAGAGCGAGAAGCAATGAAAAGACTGTAGGAACTTCAAAGTAAGCAAAAAAATTCTCTGTGGATTCCCTTTTTCCCTGAAAATTGGGAAGCAGCAGATGGATAATCAACAAAACCCACATCACCTCCTTGAGATAAGGCCTGGGGACAGAGCTTGCAAGGCACTTGAGTAAAAAAAATGCATGAAGCTCTGCGTGGTATCTACACGCCGTGGGTCCCCTGGATTTTCCCAGGCTCCTGGAGGGTGTTGGGTTACCTGAAGCCAAGCAGCTCCCAGTCAGCAGCTGGTGCAGGTAGACACTGTGCAGCTGGGCTGGGTAGCCTCACTCGCTTTTGGGCAATTCTGATGTCAGGAATCCCTGCATTACAACATGAGCTGAATTTTGCAGCTTCCTAGAGGTCAGGAAAAAAACCAGTATTTCCTCAGGGTTTTTATTGTGGTTTATGCCATACTATGTGGCTCATGGTTAAGAAGGGAGCAAGGAGAGGCAGCACTTAATTTCAGCACATGGCAGAAGACCTGCTCCGAGGTGGTGCAGACACTGGGTGAGAGCAGGAGCAATTGGCTCTCCCTGTGGGCAAAGTCAGTGAGTGTCACATGAAAATGATTAGCTCAAACACCATGGAACTAAGGAGCAGATTATTTTGACATTTAGGCCTGAATATGGCATTTCCAGAGATTCTTGTAATGATTTGGCCAAAGACTATTAACAAGGCAAAAGCCCAGTGGGGTAAGTGGGAGTCTCACAATGGAAAAATTAGCACATGGTAGGACTGGGTCTGCTGTTGCCCACAGCTTTTTTGGGCTTAGGCAAAGGGTATCCTGCCCATAAGGACACAGTAATTTTTAGTCTCATGCTGGAGCTGCTCTAGATGCCATCAATGCCCTTGGCTAGCTGCCATGGCTGGGTGCAGAAGAGGCTGGTGGTATCAAGGTGTGTTGGGGTGTTCTATTCTGTGCTGGTGCTGGGCTTTCCCTCCACTAGGGCAGCTGGAAAACCTGTGGCTCAGTGCCTAAACCATGGTCTGGTGTTTGGTGACTTGCACAGTTCAGGAACCTGCTAGCTCGACATATTGGCCTTGAGACTCCATTTCTTTGAGTGTACATGTCTCCAGTGATCCTTTCATTTGGGGTGCTCTCTAGTTTGTGAGTGAGATGAAATGTAGGCAATGAATTACGTCACATGGGGCTGGGTGTGTGCTCCCAAGCTGAACATGTGTTAGTGACCTTGCTCCAGTGTTGTGGGGCGGGAGGGCAGCAGTAACTCACTCTGATATGATGTGTAGCACAGCGGGGTTGCCTGCTGTAGGTGCAGCATTGGGCAGCAGAGCTGTGACAAGAGGCTCTTTATTTCAAGCTTTTCCAAAACACAATAGGACATGCTTGAAATGCATTCCTTCCTGCTGATCCTGGGAATCTTCCATAACCTTGAGTTTTTGCTGTATCTTTGCTTCCCATAAGAAGCTGCTCACCGAGCCCTGACGCACCCCAACATCGCCTCGTGTGCGGGGAGGGAGGCACCGGGGCAGAAGTGGCTTTGCAGGAGCAGCGTGGCCAGCCCTGGCACAGCCCTGGCACTCCTCTCTCCCTGGCACTGACAGCAGCATCTCTGCCCGTGTGGCTGCCAGCCAGCTGAGGCATTGGCTGGGATGGCACAGGTGTCTCCACAATTAAGGCGGTATTTGGAATTTCACAGGTGCCCGTTATGAGTGGTGCAAGCGCCCACTCAGCTGTAACTGCAAGGCTTTACAAAGAACTGTTCTGTTCCCTCTCCAGGCCCTTGGGTGATTGCTTTTTCCTTTTCTTTTCACTTCTCGCAGGACCTGTGCCCATGGCTGAGCAGCAAAGGCTTCCCAGGCCCCTCATCCAGGGCAGTGCCTGTTTTTGTCACAGCAGCCTCAGCACTGCTGCTGCTGCTGCTGGTGCCTGCAGGCCCTGGCTGCCCAAAGTGGCCAGAAATGAGTTAATGTGTGTGATCTGTAGGGGGGCACCAGCCCACACTGCCCTGCTTCAGTCCCACCCAGCAGCGAGGGTTCACTGCTGACCCCAACCCACAAGGAGAAGAAGCACCAGACAGGGAGAGCCTTGCCAGTCCCCACGGAAGCCCTGGTTGCTGCAGGTGGGCTCAGCACTCATCCCTCACCCCAGTGCCCTCCTCCTGGCCTTTTCCCACTTGGGAATTTGTTACATCTGAAGTGCTGCTCCAGCATCTGCAGCCCTGGCACTGGCCAGACTCGTGCCCACACCCATGTCCAGGCTGCTGGAGCATCTCAGGGGCCTTGGACTATCACAGCGGAAAGGCTGGGGTTTGGAAGGGTTTGCAGCCTCTGCTTTGAACATGTGTGGTATGTGTGGAGCCATAACATTTAAGGAGACCCCAGCTGCTAGAAGGAATGTCCTTATCCTGTCACAACTGGACAGGCAAAATCACCCATGTTCCTCTACACCTGCTCCCTCCTAGGCACACCCCATCCCCACATCCCTCTTTCCATTGCTGAAATCCTGTTACCCTCTCATACAGCACATGCCTTACCATTTCCATCTGACAGCAAGGATTTCAGCAGCATTTCTTGATATGTTTCATATTTTAAAGCAAGCAGCTATCCCTCCTGCCCTTTATCTCCTAACTCTACCCTAATAAATATGATTGCTTCATCCTGTGAGACCTGAAAACCCATTTCTGAAATTCCCCTGGCAACTAATACAGTAAAACAAGCATATAAATAATTATGATAAAAAGGCATAAAATGCCAGACTTGGGTCAAATATACTCATGGAGTGACATTAGAAATGAGTAACTATGCAGGGTTTGAATGTAGATGGAAAAGGCTGAATAAAGAGTAGCTACTTCATTGCCCGTAACTGCCAGGCTCCTAATTTGGGCAGGTCATATTTTACTGATAGCAGAGCAAACACAGTCATAATGTACCTCTACCTTTCCTGCTTTGTGAAAAATCCCATCCATCCCCAGGGAAGCAAGGATGTTAAAAACAGCGGTGTGAACGTGAGGTGAAAGGATAAGACAGAAAGCACAGTCACAGCATGCAGTTCCCATGTGTTTGTTGCATATCATATGCTAAGTTCAATTTTCCAAAACCTTTGTTTTATTTTTAAAGGTAACATCTTTATTATTATTATTATTATATTTATTAGTTGTTATTATTATTATTATTATGCAGAGATGAGATTTTTCCCCCTTTGATCACAGAGCAAACAGTTTGCTTTTGAAAATGTTAATGGAGTCCTGATTTAAAACATTTTTCTTCACTTTTTTTTGTTGTTGTTTTTTAAAACGTTGCAACAGGCAGGATCTGGGTTTCGATTTTCTCGTCCTACACAAAGAAAGATTCTGGAGTTCACACTCCAAGCCACTACCGGTAAGTCCTGCCTTGCCCAGTTGTCATCATCTCAGTGTGGTTTCGCCAGGTGGGGTGGGTAGGTGGGTGGGAGGGGAGGAGTTGGAAGAAGGGAGGGTATTTGTCAGCTATGTCGAGTCTTGGTTAACGACTTTGCCTCCATTCATGGTTGGTGTCCCTGAACTTTTCCTTGAGCGTCCTTGTTTTTCTCCAATTTCATGCAGCGATGGCTCTCTGTACATGCACACTGCAAACAGAAGAGACACCCATTAACAGCCCTGAAGTCGCAGACAGTCATGACCATAACAAATTATTTCTTTGTACATGATGCTGGATTCCAGCCCCATTGCAAACATACACACACACACTCACTCACACTTACAAAACCCCAATTGACCCAGCTGCAGATCGTGCCACCAAGCAGGATCTGTTTACTTGCCCTTGCTGCCATTTGCTTCTGCCTCTGTATTCTTTCAAAGGCAGAGAGAAACAGCAGATTGACTGCTCACAGATAAATCTTTCTAGGTTTTATGTGCTTTACAGTTTTTTCATGTTATATTCACATACATAAAACATTTTAGCTCACAGAGCCATGCACTGGCTTGAGAAGCTGATTATCATCTAACAACAGGTTCAAGAATGACCCGGTTCCCAGCCCTTGACCTGCAACCAAAGCCCTTGAGAGACCTGAATCAAAACTACACCTGCAGCTGAGCCACGAAGGCGTTCTGGGTGTTGAGCTGTGGATCTGAAGTGGTGACTCAAGCCCATTTGGCTCCATCAGCCAAGAGCCGCGGTCTGCTCTCTGCACTTCCTATTTATTCCTCTGTAAATCAAGCCAGCCAGCCAAGGTCAGGGCTGTGAGCAGACACAAGGGATGAGTTCAGTGACAGCAAGTCAGGAGCTGTCCCAGCTTTCTGTGGTCGTCTGGCAGAACCTGAGAACAGGGTGGCTGGAGGGCACCTTCTCTCCAGACCCTGGCTATGCAGTGTGTGTCCTACAAAAATGCACTTGCTGGAGCCCAGACAGCCAGAGAAGGCAATGTCTGCCCAAGGCATGGCTCATCCCCATGTCCTGGGCAGGACAAAGCATTTATCCAGCTCACCACGTGGACTAAGTCCTCACGGCTGTCCTCGTGCCATGTGAGGTGTGCCAGAGCAGGGGCAGTAGCTGTTCACACCAAGGAGAGCATCTCTGATGAGCTCACTGCAAATGCGGCAGGGTGCAAATGGGATTGAAAGAGTGAAGCATCTCAAGGGCAGGCACAGAAGAGATGAGAACATAAGGCAGGTCCAGACTGCAAATGTCATGTCCAGATCTTTGCAAAAATTAGGAAATTAAGAAATTATTGTGTATTGCTTCATTTTGTGAGGTTGTCACATCACAAAAAATGGCACAGAGCTCCAACACAGGACAGAGCCTATCAGGGTTTGGTTCTGCATAATCAACAAGAATAAAACTTTAAAAATTATCTCAAGAAACTAAAAAACCCACCCCATGTACAAAAAGGCAATGTAAGTGCTTGTATCTATAATCTCCCTTGATTTGCAAATAAATCCTAGCAATTAGAGGCAGGCTGAAAATGACATTATTGCTCTGTGCTTTTACTCCTGACTAGATAAACAGTTACAGCACTGTGCAACAATAGAGGACAAAGATAAAGTGCAGTCAACTGTGTATTAATAGGAGGGATATTGAATGGAATATATGAGCAGGGAAAAATATTACTTTTCCCATAGAGTATTTTTCATGCAAGGCTTTCAACGCAGTTTAAACACACACACACACACACACACACACACACACACACACACACACAGGTCCTCCCAGCAAGGCTGAAAGGAGATACTGCTCTGCAAACTGTTATTGCTACTGGAGCCATTTTTTTCATGAAAATTAGAGAGAAAAAAAAAAAAAAGAGAAAATGAAGGAGTTGTCCCATGGGTCTGGGCCAGGATGAGCCGTGCCAGGACTGCCCATCAGGTCCAGACAATGGACGCTGTCTGCATGCTGCAAGGACAATGTGTAGCATGGCAGCAACAGATGGAAAAGGGCTCTCACATCCCTTTCAGTCCTGCCCCTCACACCTAGGAGAGCTTGTCACTCAACAACATGGTGATGGAGAATTTGCCTGTTGTGGTGAAGTCCCCAATAAAATCCTAAAGAAAGTATGAAATGGTTAACAACTGAGCAAAACCCTTGTGATTTCTTAACCCTGAGCTGCAGAGCCTTTGGATAGCACTGAGGGTGTGCATCACTTCTGTGACTCACCTTATTCTGGGATGTGATGTTTGCTCAGCAGAATTATGTATTTGTGCCAGTGTTGTCCCAGTGCCCCTGACATTCCATACACAAAGTTTTGTCTCAAGTGCACTGTTGCCTTCATCCTGACCTCTCTGGTCCCAAGCTGGAGCTGGAGGGACCTCCATGAGTTCTTCCCCCAGAACCAAGCTCATCTCACCCATACTCATCCCCAAAAACTCATCAGGCTGGGTCAGATGCTTAGCCACAAAGACTGAGCCCAGGTGAATGCTGCAGCAGCACCATGGCATGCTGCCATTCCTCAACTCCCTGCCTCTCACAACGGCCTTTGGGCAAAAACCTTGAGCTGCCAACAAGGCCCACAGAGTAAAGAATATAAACCAGGCTACTGAAGTAAACAACATTTGCAGCTACAAATGAATGAAACCCTGTACCTGCCAAGCAAATAAGGCAGGAAAGTTTTATCTTCCAGTCTAGTGCAGAATACAAATACTGATGTGGGGCATGGCTGGAGACTGCTCACACTGAGCTTTTCAGACAGAGCTGTCAAAGCCTCTGTACCAGGCAGGCTGTGCCAACAGCCCATGCCAGAAAATCTGTAGCAGTACAGGACAAGCATATTTTCAGTATTTAGATACACCTAGATGATCAGTGTATGCAGCACTTACATGGCATCATGCACAAGAGATGCCTGGATGTTCTCCTACTCAAGATGCTTGTGCACAGGTGCTGAGCTGTGGCCAGCAGGGGCGGTAAACCCCCTGCACTGTGGCACACAGGTGTGCACACCTGCATCTGCACAGGCACAGGGCTTCAAGGACAGCCCAGCATGTTGTGCAACACAGGCTCTTGGACTGCAGCTTGTTCCTCTTTGTACTGAGGAAGTCTGAGCATGACTCACGCGGGGAGATGTTAGTCATGGACTGGGGAGGGGGTGTTTGCAAACGGACTCTTGTGAGTGCCCAGATCTTCACAGCTTTGAGAGTACATCGTTGGGCTCCAGGACTTGCAGCACTCGCTGGCAGGTCTCTTTGGGATCCCTCTGTGTGTATGTGTGTTTGTAGACACACTTCCCTGTCACCTGCACCGAGGTAAAGCAGCAGCAGTGTGACAGTCATGCCCGGACACCTGGGAGGTCTGCTGGAGCAAACAGCACAAGGAGCTTTGGAAGGATGAGCAATTCAGCTAGAACAAGAGTTCCCTCCTGCTTTGCCTTGCTTCTCCCACCCACCCACACCCACACACCAAGCCAAATACAGCCCTTAATGTCTAGAAACCAAGCTAATGCTTTGGAGTTTCAATCAGATAATCAGCTCCTATGCCCCAGATTCCAATCAACACATCCATATTCATGCTTTAATTGGAAAGTGCTGTTAGCTTGATCTGCTGAAGAGCTGCAGGCATTAATGTAAGGGGGTGAACGCAGTGGAGCTGTGCCCATGTCTTGTTCTTGTGGCTTTCAATTCCCTGCTCCCCTGTGAAGCAGCAGTGCCTGCCACTCACAGGCACAAGGGAAAAATCTGCACAAAGATCAAACTCACCAATTAGGAAGGAGACTGAGGGTACAAGTGAGGAGGACGTGGGTGGCAGGGACCATACTTCCTGAAGGCAAAGGCGTGGAAGGGACTGCCTGTCACCCAGAACAGCTCAAACTCTTGCCTACGTGCTGGCACAGGATCACACTCTCATTTCTGTTTCCCAGACACGGCACTGGCACATCACCCACATGATGACACTGAAATCACCCTGGGCATCAGGGACTGCCTGAGTTTGGGAAGCATCGTTTTGTGTCCTGACCCTAGCATTTCTCATTTGGCATCACTGCAAGTTGAGGAGGTTCAGGGGATGCAACAAACTCCATTTCCTTTCTCTAGAATATGGCAAAAAGCTCATTAAGCGCATTAGATATTTCCCATCTATCCATCTTCACTCTGTGTCTTTCCTGGTCTCAGACCCTTTTGAGTCAGGAGGAACCAAAACTTTTCTAAGCTGCTGTTCAGCAGGTAGGCAGCCCTGCAGGATCACCATGTGCCCGACGGTGCTGGGCTGGACCTGGGCAGGGCTGGAAGCACATCCTCTGGTAGCAGCCCACAGCAGGCTCCCTGCCTGCACAGACACCACAGCTCTGGGTGTTGGTATCTGCCTGAGTGGCTGTATTTGCCAGTGCTTTGGTGCAGGGAATTCACTGCCTGAGCAGCAGCACTGAGGGCACCAGGGAGTGAGTGATTAGGCACCCTCGTTTTCTGCCTCTAATTACCATGTTCTAAATCCCAGCTGATGCATTTCAGAGGCATGTGAGCTCATGTCTATCTGGTGTGAAGATAGACATGTAAAATGTGAAGGATGTTGCCAGGTGGAAGCACACTTTGTTCAGATAAGAAAGGCAGCACAGGATGGCAAAAAATCCAAGCAAAATCATGGTTAAAATACATCACATTTGCCATCTAATAACATGATCAAGAGTCTGATAGATGAACAAGTGAGTTAGTGTGGCATAGAAAACATACCAAAACCTGCCTACCTGGAAGACAGACCCAAGAGAGGAGCTGTGTTAGCAAAGACTTATAGAGTGTGGAGATTCTGAGGTTTGATTTTTTAAGAGTACTTTTTAGGATGTTGGGAAAGTAACATTTTATATGGGCAGGTAGTAACAGGACAAGGGAGAATGGTTTTTAAAAAAGGAGAGGTTTCGGTTAGACATTAGGAAGAAATTCTTCTCTGTGAGGACAGTGAGGCACTCCCACAGGCTGCCCAGAGCAGCTGTTGATGCCCCATCCCTGGAAGTGCCCAAGTCAAGGCTGGATGAGGCCTGATCTGGGGAGGGTGGCATCTCTCCCCATGGCAGGGAGTTGGGACTAGATGCTGGTTAAGGTTTCTTCCAACCCAAGACTTCCTGTGACTCTATGCTTTATGTATTCAGGTGATACATTTGAAGCATTTTCACAAGACCTACCGAATTTTCCTAGTCAACAGTCTTGTACTTCTTTATAACATCTGAGGACTCTGCCTTAACAAAACTTGGATGTTATTTTCCTGAGGAATGACACCGGGAAGGATCTGGCTGCTTGGATACTCATCAGTGGTAATAAATGGATCCAGACTAGTCATTAACAGGTCACCTTTGTATCTGAGACACGTTCAGCTCATGAGGGCTGAAGCACCATAAATCCAGAGTTAGGGACTGCTCTGCTGACTTGGAGGAAGTTTTCTGCTTCTGTGGCCAGATTTGCCACCCGTAAGTGTTTTCTAGTTTGGGCCAGGAGAGAGAGGAAATGTAACTCTTTGGGAGAGTTGCATTTGGAAATTATGTCTTCAAGAAGAAGGAAATATAAATAACAGAGCACATCCACAGTAAGCATCTGATAATATTCCTACTTAAATGACTGGAAACTTCTCACATTGAGATGGATTTGGATATTTAGAAGAACAAGAGGCACTATGGATGGTAGGATTGTTCCAGCACTAATCATTACAGACACTTAAAGAGACTGAAATTTCTCTAAAAGATTGCTTGTTGTCCAAATGACAATTATACTTAAGCTCATTTCTTGTGCAGTCTAGTTCAATCTTGATGTCTTCCCTTTAGGGTTCATTTAGCTCGAATAATCGGTGATCAGAAATAAAAATATCAAAAGAAATGTGTTGCGTATGTGTGTTTTGAAGCAAAACTGGCACCACACAGTACATCAACTGCTGCCTACCAGGCTGTTTGCCTTGGCTTTGCCTGTGCACAGATGGGAGAAGAACTTAACGTCTCCCCTGTTATTACTTAGTAAGTTTTTTGTGCTTTCATATTGATTAAGCTTAATCTTATTTCCAAAAACAAACAAAACCTACCTACACTAAACTAAAAAAACCTCCTACCAACCAAAACCCAAAACTTTTCCAGTTGGTATCTATTGAATTTCATACAAAATACCTCCAGCATCTTGCCAATCTACGTGAGTCAAAACACTCCGAGTGTTTAGCACAGCAGACCGTAGCTGCTAAAAGCCTTAGATAACACACACCCATACACAGATACCACTGTGTATATATGCATATGTGCGCCCATGAGTATTTAGAAATTATCTGTGAGGATATTTCTTATTTATGTACAAGTTTACTGTCCATTTGCAATTTCAAGGAGACTTCTGAATTCAGAGAGCAGGATGAAGCAATGGGAATCAAAAGAGCTTAGGGAGCAATCTGGGTTTTTTTCTGTTTCCCTTACCTGTGAACCCTTTCTTCACTAAAATGCTGCATAATTTTTCTGTATATCAGAAACAATGGGGAAGTTTCATCTCAGATATAACTGCTATCGAGTGGTAGATGAAGTGATTCCTAGCAATGGATGTGGCACTTCTCCTTCTCAGGGGGAGCAGATTCCTCCTTGCACACAGTCCTGTGTCAGCCATCACGGGACAGGGCTAATGCTGGTGGTGGTATCCAGCAACAGGAAACCTGGGGGTGTGACTGTGGATGGAAGCTGTGTCCTGAATAAGCAGCAAAGCCCACACACTGGGGCAAGCCACAGCATTCTGCAGAGCCGACATGCAAATACAGCAGGAGAGTGCTTTGAGTATTTCCTTGGAGTCATAACAAAGAGAAAGAAGCTGTTAGAACAGGGTAGGAATTGCCCCTTTTCTGTAACATCTCTGCTTGCAAGCTCTGCTCCTGGGGACTTTGATGGATGCGGTGCAGAGAAGTCACGTGGAGATGAGTGCGTTTTACTCCAACCCTCCCCACAAGCCTCTGCTACCTACAATGAATTTTAGGCTTGGGAACAGAGTCCTCTGTCTGGAGTCACAGTCCCAGACAGCTGAATGCTTTGGGAAGCTGACACGTGCCTTGGCTTGGGAGACTGCCAGCTCTTTGATGCAGCAGCGCTCACAAAGCCTGACTGCAAAGCATGTGGAGGAGGGAAGGAGTGGAGGAGCCCTTAATTTGGCTGCCAACTTCCAAAGCGCTCACTGCTCAGGAGGTTATGTGACAGCTGTGATTGAGGCAAGTGTGGGAGGATGCAACTGCGGGAAAGGGAAGCTCTCAGGCTGGGCTGGGTTATTCAAAATGAAAGCCAGAGCGGCATTTGCTGAAATGAGATCTCTGCTGTGGGTCAGGCAGCTCTGTTAAGGCAAGGCTTTCCACGAGGAGAGCCACGGGAATGGCCTAGTTTAATGAATGCAGAAGGAAACTATTGAGCTGTTCAGCAGACACCATGCATGCTAGATTAAAAAAGAAGCCTGGATTCAAAGGATCCCACTGATCAGTGCCAATGCCCAGCCAGGCAGTGAAGAAATACCAGGAGGTGGTGAAAACCCAGCTGTGAAAGATGGTGCTTGTAAAAGACTCTTCTCGAGGTCAAGGCAAGAGAGAAGCTGGTGACCAACCCCATGCCTGAAGCAGGCCCTGTTCCTTAGCAACACTTGAGGGCTTAGGGTACCAATCCCACTAATGCCTCAGATAAACAACAAAGGGCTCCTGGCTGCAGAGAAGCTGTTGAAAGCAAGCATAGGACAAGCAGCTCCAGCCATTCTCTGCTCTTTCAACATTTCCATTTCCTGTGCAAAGCCCACAGATACTCTGGGAATGCTGCACTGAATTTCTCTAATGCTTTGCTTCAGATGGCCTTTTCCTTACACTCCCAACTTCCCATCCCTGAGCTGGGAAGCTTTTAAAAAGGTCACTGCTGTGTGGAATGAGCTGTGGCCTCCATCACTTGTGAGTGGTACCTGTTAGGGGAGCATCAGTTCAAACCTTCTCCCACAGCCAACATGGAGTAGTGAGAGGGAGCACAGAGCTGTGCAGCCAAGGCCAGCTCCAGGCTACTGTGTCCCTGAAGGAGACATATGGCAGGACAAAGATGGGGTCACAAAGGCATACCTGGTTTGGGGATTGAAAAGCAGTGCTTTTCCCAAGCAAGAGATAAGATGTGCTGTTTCCAGAATCAAGTTAGTACCTATTAAGTACTAGGCTTACCACACTATCTCTCCATTTATTAGGGGCCAGCCCACAAAAAGCAAAATGTCCTGGCAGGAGCCTGAGGCACACTTCAGAGTGTACAGGCATCTGCAGGAGGGCAGAACTTCAACTCCATGACTTTCACTGAAGCCTCACACTGTGATGAAGACATATGGCATGACAGCATCCCATCTAACTTTGGACAACAACTCTACCCCCCAGTGACTAACTAGGATGCCTTTACATATGAGGAAAAACAGATTTAATCTCAGGGTAGACATAAAAAGAACATCCACAGCTGTGCTGGTAGGACCCATTTTTCTTCTGTTACTATGAACGGAGTGCCAAAGTCTAAAATCAGGTGAGATAAATCATCTCTACTGACTCTACATGGGACTGGAAATCTACTGAAATACACTGGCAAAATCCTCTGAGAAGACAGCATTATGATCATTGCTGCATCACATTCCTTTGGAACTACTGGCTGCTTTTCTTTACCAGTAATTTCTTGTGTTGCTAGGCTTTTAAATTCATCCTTTAGCACCCCAAAGCTAAGAAACCCCTTTGAGGCTAAAAGGAAAGTAGAATGCTAACAGTGCAACCCAGCACTTATGTGAAGTGCTACAAACATTTATTTCTTCTTGCTTTCTGGTCTCGAAGCCCAACACCCCCACCCAGGAAACCCCAACTCTGAAGCTGTTACCTCCCCCTACCCAAACCCCACTGAGGGAGAAAGTGGGCAGATTCCATACCTTCAATGGGTTTGGGTACAAAATGTGATGAGGGTTTGGTTTTTTTCACTCGGTTTCCCTTCATAATTTGACCTTCTTTATTGAGTCCCAGGAACCACGCTCGTCCGGATTCTTGCTGCCGGTACAGCGTGGAAGAATAAATAACGTAGTAGTTTTCAAAGACAGATTCTTTAAATTTGCACTCTGGTGTGAAAACATCCTGCAGTAAGAGAGAGAGAGAAGAAGAAAAAGCAATGGAAGAATTAATAATCACTGATCTTCTAAATTAGGCATCACTAAGTGATACACAATGGTCACGCATTGCAGTTAGCAACAGAAAACAACAGGCATCAGCAATGCCAGCTCCCAGCAGTAACACCCATCCAGACAACTCCCAGCTGAAAGGCAAGGCTGTCCTTCCCTGGCACAGCTGTGGTTTTGCAAAACAGCCCACAGTGAACAGGCACGAAAAATGTGCAGGAAAAGTCAGAAATATGCCAGGATTTAGACTTTAATACTAAGAAAAAGAAAGAAAAAGAGCTGAGAAGCAGAGACAGCCTTGCTCTTCCTGATGCCTTCCCCTGGCTTTGCTCATACCTTCCCGTGATGGGCAGATGTACAATGCTTTTTGTCTAAGATATTGAGGTTTCTTCAAATTCTTAGAGGCAAAAGGCAGTTTATTGAACCATTTAAGAGGATTCAAAGAAATGAGAGTACAAAAGCAAGTAAACCATTTAATTTCAAAAGCGTTGTGAGGAAATGCTGGCACAAAGCCTGGAAATCTTTCAATAAAGAGAAAGAAGTAATTTTCAAGATTTCTGGCGTAAGTATTTCTGCAGGTACTGAGAAGCATTTCCACACCTGCCCTGGAGCAGAGCACACATGGATCTGTCCAGGACATCCCCTCAGCCTGTGATGGCTGTGGGAGTGGCTGTGTCATTGCCACTTGCCCTGGCTTTGCATGAAGTCTCTAGGACAGAACTACAGTCAGCTATGGACTAGTACTTGTTATGTCCCAGTATTCAAGATTTTCAGAACAGAGAAACAATAAACCTCTTTTAAAAGATCTGGCTGGCCAAGGGATTCTGTAACAGTGGGCTCCCCAACCTTCAGTGAGTCATATGTGGCTGTTAGTGAGTTGGGTTTTGTTCCCACACTTTGAGATTGAGCAGAAAACCTATCCTAGCCAAACAAATTCTCCTACTAATTTTCTAAAAACCATTCTTGCATAAAAAGTACAAGCCACAATGAAAATTGATTTCCTGAATCAAAACTGTTTCAGCAAAAAAATCTCTTCTTACAGGTCCCAGACAAGGCATTTCTGAGACCTGTGAGTGAAGGCAGATGCTTCTTACAGGCAAGTGATGCTCCCTCCCAAACCTTAGCCACTCCCAAGTCTTTGGGAGCTTCTCCAGCCTTGCCAATGCAAAACCCATGACCAGCATTGAGCAAAGCATCTGGAGTAATGTCACGTGTTTACTGCAGACCTTGTTAAAGAGCAAACATTCTGAACATTCAGCAACACTCAGGAACTTGTTCCCAAGCGATCTGGAGGTTATATAAAGTGTTGCTGGTGTGACAATAAATCCAGTGTGCAACAGACCTGCAGAGACTGGCAGGCTTGAAGCTACAGAAGATAAAGCACAGCAGAAAGCACAGAGCTGTGCTGCACATGTGAATTTTGCATCAATCATAAGCACCACACAGGTAAAAATACCATCAGCAAAACGGGCCATTTTGCCTTATCTGAGGGAGTCCTTTATGCCAGAGAAATAAATATTTTTAAAAGAGAGTGAAACAAGTTAAGAGAGATCTAGATGACTTAGAGCACTATAAAATGGTGTTTGAAGTAGCTTCCCAAAAGAACAGTGTTTAAGTGTTCCTTAATCTGCCCTTTATCTCCAGGCTTTGGCTTGCCTGGGAAGGCTCAGCTCACCTGGGAGCTGGGTTTGCAGGAGCTGCCTCTGAACTGCTGGCTCGGGGGCACTCCCTGGCACCAGGCCCAGCCAGGCAGCAGCTCTCAAACCAAACTGGACAACTCAATCCCCCTTCCCATGTTTTCATTACCCCATCAGTAAAAGTTGATCACCAAAATTCCCTTTACGGGGGACTAAAAAGTTGGCAGGCTAGGAAAGATAGCTCCCAACTTGACTTAAAACATGGAATTAAGACTATTTTCAATGAAGAAGAAATATAAAAGCTAATGCATTTTGAAAATGTAGTTTCACAAAGAAAAAAAAAGATATTTTAATTAGAAGTGATTGCAAGTTAAGTTTTCAGCTCAATATCTATTTTAAAATTACTGCAGTGTAATATTTTATGACATGCAGCAGTAGTTCATAAAAGCAGATGCTGTATTGTATACCCACTTGTACCAATAAACTCACAAAACTCTTATATTATTTTAAAGCAAATGCATGCAAAGACATCAAAGTAATGAAGATTTTGAGAAAATAAAGAAAAATCTATTGATTTCCTTTAAATGTTTACGCTCCCCCACAAGCAAACAAAAGCATCCCATTTGTTTTGTGAGTTGGCTGGTTGATTCCTCATCCCCCAGAATTCAGCAGAAACAGCACTTCAGGATTTGAACCATGGCAACACTACTATGAAACACCCCAGCTCTCTCCATTCAGCAGCCTAGAAATCCACAAATTTGACAGCTAAGTTCCAGTTAAATAATACTGGGTTTATCCACTATTGCCCTTCTTCTTATGCACATCATCTCACCTGCAACAACTGTGCCATGTGGAGACAGACACCCATGGGACACTGCTCATCCTGCCACCAAACTGACATGTCCCAGGGTCCTCACAGGTCTGAGCAGCAGAAATCTCTGTGGGCACTACCATGGACTTGACACAAAGAGCAAGAGGATGAAGAAAGACCCAGATGACTGGAGAGGAGACAGGGCAAAGGAGCACGACTCAGGCCACTCTCCCAAGAACTACCTGAGGATTTTGAGTGTCCTCTAAATCTCATTAACATGCAAACCCTTATGTTTTTCTTCACTGCTGTCTTCTTGGTGCCCCATGGCCAGCCTTCAGGTACACTGCATCATTTAGTTTCATCACATGCCTTTTGCTGTCAGCTTTGGGGCTACCAAAAACAAAAGACTATTGGGATATTAATGGCAGAAGCTCTCTACAAGCTTCACTGTCAAAATTAATTGTGCAATTATGATGAATCAGGTGGGAACTACTGTTTCAGTTGTCTTAGGCTGTGATGAGCTGGGAAGAAAGACAGAAGTGCAGGTGAGCACAACAGACTGCACAATAATAAAGCAGTTTGTAGCAGCCACTGCTGCACAGAAAGAAATCTGAGATAACAAAAGGTATTTTTTAAAAATCGCTGATCTCTTCACCAGACCTCTGGGCCATGCATGATTTAGGGTTTTTAAATTTGTTTAGTTTTGTTTGTAAGATAAATGCTAGATGGGCAGACCTGGAGTCCAACAGTTTCTCTTCATCTCAGATAAAGAGTGGGTAAACACAACAAAGGGATCCTCAGGCTGTGCCCACCACGTGCTTCTGACAGGACATAAGGACATCCTGCCCCAGTAGTAATGCCATGGTAAAGCCCTGGGGTCATGAGCACCACTTCACTTCCTCACTTGCTGCAGGACCTTGGAAACAGGGTTATAACGAGTCACACTCAATGATTTTTCCAATACTCTCCTTGATTGAAATAGTATGACCAGGTATAAGACAGTGAGAGGACAGATGGCTTCTATCTTTTAATCACCAGTCATTTTCAGTCTTTAAACAAAGAAATAAACAGTGACTCCATTTTCTGCACAAAGTCCACAGAGGTCCCCTGTCAGGACTGTCATGAACTCAGCTCACTCAGAAAGCCCATCAATTCTTCTCATTAAAGAGTATGCTTGTGATTTGTAGAAAAAAAAGATTCTCTCAATTTAACTGAATGCGAAATATGTCTTTGACTGAATTATTTTTGCATACAAAGTAAATAAATACATTTATTTGTTTACCAGTTGGAGATTTAGAGCCTGAGGTATTTTGTTAAGTGTCTACAGATATTACTGAAAGTGGCTTGGAAAAGGAGTTCTTTTTTAAATTATTAAATTAAAAACTTGTATGAAATATTTACAAAAAAACCATTAGTAATTTACATGCAAAATTATTAGCATCTGCTTGCAACTTGTATTTTGCATCTCAATCCAGTCCCTTCAACAAAAAGCAATTGTATTAAGAAGAGTAATCAGATTTGCTTTGAAAAAACAAACATAGGTCTGGTTTGTGCTAACTGTATTTTTACTGGAAATTTCACAGTCTAAAAAAAAAACCCCAACACAGTAGCTATCACACAGAACAAAAGGGAGATCACATTCAATGACACCTGGAACCAAAAGGAGCTAAATGGATGCATCTGCTATTGGGGGGGATTCCGTGTCAGACCTGCTCAGGGAGGGGCTAAGGTACCATGGATTCCCCCAGAAGTTATTTCTGGTTTAGAAAACCAGGATGTTTCATTTATCCTTGATCCCAGTAGTGTCTCCTGCCATCTGTAGATGGAAATATGGATGTGACTTCCAGGCACAAGCCAATCTCTGCATCACTTGAGCTAGTTTGGTTCTTCTGGGAAATGTTGGGAATGTCTGGGCCCATCTGTCCCTCACCACAGCACAGACTGGCAGTGGTTTGCGAGAGGGGATTTTTTTTCTAATCCACCTCAGTTTTCACCCGACCTGGACAGGTAGATCTAACCCAAACTCTTTGAACACCCTAAGTTTGACTGGACCCTTCTTTGCATTTCTGTAAAGCTGCAGAGGCACTGCTGCTGTCAGACCTGTAGGCACAAAGCTGCAGGGCATTCAGCGATGCACTGACAGCCTCAGAGATCTCAGCTTCTTCAAAAAATGCCAGCCCAACAGTGCTGTAGCCCTGGTGCAAACACAGTGCTGCCAGGGCAGTGGACAGCCCTGGTGCTGCTCAAGAAAACACTGCCAGCCCCTGCCATACCAGCCTGGGAGCATCCCTGCCACTGAGCATCCTCAGCCAGGAGGTGCAAAATAAAGGGTCCCCAGTAAGCAACAGCATGGTGCATCTGGGTTCTGATCACAAGAGCCAGCAATCTCTTCCCCAGAAGCCCCTGGTGTCCCAGATCATGGCAGAAATGGTGAGAGGTTTCCATATGCAACGCTCAGGGAAAGCCAGCAGGAAACTGTCACAGGCTGCTGTTGTATTCAAACCCAGCTGC